TTTTTGTATTTTTAGTAGAGACGGGGTTTCACCATGTTGGCCAGGATGGTCTCAATCTCTTGACCTCGTGATCCACCCACCTCGGCCTCCCAAAGTGCTGGGATTACAGGCTTGAGCCACCGCGCCCGGCCGAGTCTTACTCATTTTAAAAATCAGGTTGCTTTTCTTACTGGATCTTCAGAGTTTTTAATATATTTATCAGATACAAATCTTTACCAGGCATGTGATTTGCAAATATTTTCTGTCAACTTGTGTTTTCATTCTTTTAACAGTTTCTTTCAGAAAGCAAATTTCTGCTTTTTTGTGTTAAAATATAAAAAACACAGTATTCATGATGGGATCTGTTTTTGGGTGTATCGTTCAGCGGCGTTAGTGCATTCTCACTGTTGCAGCTGTCACCACTGCCCATCTCGAGAACTCTTTTCAGCTTCCCAAACCGCAACCCTGCCTCCATGAAAGGCTAACTCCCCACCCTCCTCCCCCAGCCCCTGGTACCCTCTGTTCGTTCTCCTTCTGCCTCTATAAATGTGCCAGCTGTAGGGCCCTCATCTGCGTGGGTATATGTAGTATTTGTCCTTTGTGTCTGGGGGCTTATTTCACAGTTATTTTTCATAAAGTCCAGTGTACCAAGTTTTTCTTTCATGTACATGCTTTTTGAGTCCTAACAAATCTTTGCTTAATTCAAGCTCACAAATATTTTTCCTGTGTGTTTTTCTGGAACTTTTACAGGATTTAAGTTCATGTGTTTTAAGGGTTAGAATCTATACAATTCATGTTTTAGGCTTCTACATTCAGTCAAGCTGAATTCTGCACATGGTGTCCATTGTCGAGCCTCATTTTTTTTGTGAAAAGATATTTTCTCCAATAAACTTGGCACCCTTGTTGAAAATCAACTGACTATGCAGGTATGCCACCTTTTACAGTGAAAAATACAAAAGGCAGCCCTTAGTGGAAGCTTTCACTGTGACCTGAAGCTGAGGGCTGCAGGGGACAGACTTCACTCTGGTTCATCCTCACAGGACGGGTCCCAAGCAGAGCCCTGCTTTCGTCCTCACCAGACACACCGTGTGGCACCTGGGCACAGGGCAGCCTGGATATGGGTACTCTGTGGTCAGCCTGGGGGCTGTGAATGTTTCTGCTCCCCAAATTCCTGCGCTAAAACCTGACCACCAAGGTGCTAGAATTAGGAGGTAGGGTCTTTGGCAGGTGGTCAGGGATCTGAGGGCTCTGCCCTGCCGAACGGGCTCAGGCCCTGGCGAGGAAGGCTTAGGGAACTTGTCAGCACCCCCACCAC